GTAAAGTCAATTCATTCATTTTCTTAATTCTTGAGTGGAATTTTTTCCACTGCTCGCTCGTCTAAGATTCATATTAAAATTTATTTTTACTTGCTTTAATGGGACCCCGGCGGGTCTTTAATAAAACTATTTATTTATTTATATAGGCCGAGAGATATGAATATAAAGCTCGAACTCGTAAACAGTGACCTACAGGCCTTTGCCCAGTGGTGTCGCTCATGGCGCCTTTCGCTTTCTTGGCATACATGCTCAGTTATGGTGGTTGGCGATGACCGCCAGTCTCAGATAATTATTGCCGGCCACGACATAAATGCGCCTGGGGTTATAAAGGATCTGGATGTATCATACTCCAAGAATCTTAATCTTTCAGAGCAATGCACACTTATAGTCTCCTAAGCACGCGGAACGACCGGGTTTATCCTCCGAAATTTTAAAATTATTTATATTAGAATGCGCCTTTATAAAATGTACGTCAGATTTGGCCTGGAATACTGTTCGTTTTTGTTAGGACGGCCCAGAAAACGACGCACCGTTCCTGTCGTCCGGGGGTCACGGCTGACAAAGAACCGCTAACTCGCCGGACAGCCTCGCCTAGGAAGTCCGCATGCGAGCCAGACATTAACACGCCGTCGAGTAATGCGCGACCTCCAGGGGTCAGCAACACGCGAGGGCCTGCCCATGTGGGCGCTCAGGACTGGATCAGTAGGAACACGCAAACCAGACGAAGGCTGAATCCTTAAAGACGAAGCAACGGACGGAAGGATTAACAGTTGGTTTACACATAGTGACTGACACAAAAAAGCTGTTCGCTGATATCCTGCCTGTCTTCTATTCCGCACAGAACTGGCGTCATACTATTTGGGGATGTAGCAGTCTTAATTTTGCCTCATGCGTGCTGCTGAGCGGACGAAAGTAGAATCCGCCCAACACTTTTACCAAGAGCGTTAAATTGTGGACCGCCAATATTTGACTTACCAGAAACGCTGCGGCCTCACAGGCCTTTGCTCCTTGTGGTTTCGTCGGTTACAAAAAGGAGTATTTTACTGTTTACGCTCATAAACAATTATACTTTTAATCCGTTTACAACTTTAAAACATTTGACCATCCCTGACAGTTTAGTCACCGTGGGGTCTTTTAAATTCTTCCTCTGTCACGTTCCGTTAAATATCGTCGTTCCGTTTCCGTAAACACAATTTCATTTTGAAACAAATTACCCAGGAATACGAACATTCGACAAAATTATTCTTTGTTAATGAGCACTATTACTCGTTTTTGCATTCGGAATATCTCTGAAATCCACTGAATTAATCTATCGTAGTGATGGAGTTGGTGGTCTCTGATTTCTTGGCCTGTCTCACCATGGACACTTTCTTCAGCCGCTAGCGAACAACAGTTCTTCAGTGCCTCCACTTTGTCCAGTACCAAGTTTTATGAGAAGGAACTGAGGTTGAAAATATCTGAAGCACTGTTACCCATTCCTTTCCGGACTACCGTCATTTCACGGGCAGTTATTTTTTCTCCTGAACCATCCAAACTATAAGAGCACCATCCTCTGTATTTGTCCCTCAGGAGTTTTTTTCGCTGTTATCTCGATCAGTACTTTATTTTCCTTTGACAGTGCCTGTAAAGTGACGCGTTAGGGGGGCACGAAGGGGGCGATAAGAAGGAGTCGAGACGTCACAAAGTATGGTATCAGTACCGGTGGTCACGGGTATGTCGGTGAGTTGAAAACCACTAACGGACTCGTCGCCGGGACCATCAACTCTTTGTTGCTTAGCTGCCGTGACGCCAAGGTCGATCCCGTGCGACAACTGGAGCGAAGATAGTATAGGCCTGAACAGCCAGTTATCTACCTCATTCTTTGTGTCATCAGTGTGGCAGATATTGATGGAGTACTGGGAGATATAGTGTAGGCGGATAATCTCTCTCCGGTTTTACTTCGCAGGGTGGGAACAAAAGGCAAAAGTCAGCGGCCTGTGGCCCTGGATAATGACGAAGTACCGACCTCCAAGGAACTGCGAAAAATGTTTCGTAGTCAGGTAAATGGCAAGTAGCTCACGACCAAAGGTACTGCAGCGGGTCTCATCCGGCAAGAGCCTTTTGGAGAAGGAGGCCAGTGGTCGAGTCGAACCATGGAGGTGTTGTTGAAGGACTGCACCTTCCGCGTCGATTGAAGCATCTGCCATCACGAACAGCTGGTCTTCTTGAACGAAATGCGTGAGCAAGTTGTCGTCCGTAAGGGTATTCTTGATTCTCAAAAGCAGACAGTTTTTTGCCAGTAAGATCGAGGGGAACCTTTGGACCATAAAGCATATTGGTGAGCGGCAGCATGAGGTAAGCGCAGTTCGGTAGGTGCCGGCGGGAAACATTAACCGTGCCGAGGAAACGCCGTAACTGACGCCTGGAGGTTGATGGAGTAAAATCGCAAATTGCATTGACCTTGGAGGACAGAGGACGCAAACCTTCAGAGTCAAAATGATGGCCGAGAAATTAAATCATAGCTGCATCCAGAACACACTTTGAGGGGTTGATAATAACGACAAACTTGTCGAGGCGGTCAAATGCTCAAGCACGGTAGGCTACGTAAGAAATGTTCAGGGAACCTCTGGAACGTTTTGGCGGCATTACGTAGACCGAAGGGCATGCGGATTAATTCGAAGATGCCGAAGGGGGTGGAAACGACGGTTTTAATTATATCATCAGGGACTACAGGAGTCTGATGAAAGGCACGGACCACGTCAATTTTCGACAATACCGATAGGGGGCAAGCAATGCCTGTATCTAGAACGGACAAGTTTTCGGGTATAGTAAAGGATTTTAATCCGAGACCAGGCGGACCAGTCATGCAGTTGAGGAGACGAGAACGTGTGCAGTCAATAAGGAGACCGAATTCGGCAAGAAAGTCCGAGCCGAGGATTGCATGGGTGACATCAGCAATCGCAAAGAACCGTGAGAAAGACCGGCGAAGGCCAATTTGCCAGAAGTGAGAAAGGATAACAATAAGTAGCTTGAAGCTGGAGAACAGTATTGGGGGAAAAAGGTCGGTTGGAGTGGGTGAGACAATGCCGATTTGGGCTCCGGTGTCCACTAGGAAAGGTCTGCAAGTCACATTGTTGCAGACATAGAAGATGCGACCAGAGCTGAAAGAGCCAGAGAAAAGGGCCACCTATATTTTCTGGCCGACTGGTTTCCCTGCTTGAACTTGAATGCGCAGGGAGAGGAATATTGACGGGCCTTTGTGTCAAAATTGGCATGATACCAACAAATATCGGCAGTTCGATTTTGCGAATGCGAACCACGGCTAGATGAGCGAGTGAAAATAAGGCGTGCAAGCTAGCGTTTTATGGACAGCATCTCTTCTGCCATGTCCGTTATCTTCGTCGTTATCTTCTCACTTGTCGTTGGTAACGAGGAAATGGAGAGCTGAGCGACATAGGCCGGTTGGAACCGCTGCACCTCCAGCATCCTGTCCGACATCTCGGCTAGCCTTGAGACCGAGAGATCTTCTGAGACAAATTCCATAATACTTTGAACATCGGCCGGCAGACGCTCAGGGAACATCTCGATGAAAAATTTATCATCGATGTGGAGCTCAGCACGAAGTCCTCGCATCCTTCTAAGAACTTCGGTGGGTTTTCGGTCACCCTTAAACTACGTGCTTGATTAGTCGGCCGGGGGACTTTTGATCAATGACTGTACCCGAGAAGGAATCTGTAACGGCAAAGCTTGAACCAGCCTGTGGAATTTGGCAACTTTTTTGATAATGTTCGCAGAGTAAAAACTTAATTCAATGCGAAGGAAGTAAAGTTCAGAAGTCTGGTGAAGACAGTGTTATTGCGCCAACAGAATCGCCTCCACTACTAGGAGCCTCCGTCCTGCCTGTGGCTTCGGCAAGATTTGAACGAAAGTGTACTCCAGGAAAGATCCAATACGGCGCTTCATAATGACTGACTGGCTATTGTAGCCGAATGAAAACGCGTGAAAATGATGTGCGTGTCCTCGTTCGGGGGCCACCATTTTAGCGGGCTTAGACGATCAACAGCACGATCCCACTTTTAGACCAAGTTGAGAAAAACTAAGAAAAATTGCCACGTCTGAATGGACTTAACTGTCAACGCCGCCTGGTACACAACAAAGGCAGTTGGTTAAAAACCAACTAGTGAAATCCAGATTCACACCAACTGGAGTGCCCTGCCTACTCGACAGGCAAGGCTAGATGTGCGAAAGTTCTCCTTCTCTGTCCGAGTAGTCAAACCGTGGAATGCCCTCCATGCAGATGTTGTAATGACACTATCGACATAAAGTCTTAAAAAGAACATCGACATATTTGTGTTCCGAAATGAACAAGAGCGATGAGAGGTCTAGCTCATCCACTAAGACTCACTCCCATTTTGTTATAGCATTATGGGCTTGTTTGAATTATTTCAGCACAGGTACTTTTTCTGTACACCGCACCCAGTTTTACGTTGTAAATAGGGTACTCAAAGGTTTACGCCCATTCCCCTCAATATGCTGAACGGAAATGAGTGGTAACTGCTTGCTTTATTCTACTTCTGATTCCCCTTCTACGTCTATTTCGTTTTTTTGTGCGCCTTCCACTTATTGCTGTTCGATTTTTATTTTGGTTCAAGTAATCTACCTTTTCGGTCATTCTTCCTCTTTTCCTCTTTAAACACTATGTTTGACTTTCTAATTTTTCCAGCTAGTTCAACATTCACGCTTGTGTAGGATATGAGCGGCAGTCTCCCTCATTCTCATGGTTACACCGCCCTTTCTAGATTTTGCTGGAGCACCTTACCGATTAACTTGTGTTCCATACTGCGCGGATTATTGTAGAAAAGCACTTATATATTTGGTTGTTGGTGGATTCCTGACTGTCTATCATGCCTTAGCTGGAACGGCCAATCTGAACCCAGGCTTTAGCTGAAGACTCTAAAAGTCGCGCAATTCAGTCTCGTTTGGTCTGTTGCCTGTCGGACGTGCTGTTGCAGGGCTTGGTGATGAATTCGTCCAAAGTCAGTGTTGGTGCAGGGAAGTTGCCTCTTCATTTGCAGGTAGTGCAATCGAAAGTTAATCCTTACTGTTCTTAGAGTGCACAAACTCGTCTCCACCTTAAAGGAGGCACAATTGTTAACGATGACCGTAAATTCGTTGCTGATATCTACATAGAGGATGGTGTCATCAAGTACCATTTATGTTTACTTTTATTCAACTCTGCTCAGGCAGGTCGGGACAAATTTGAGCATTCCCGGCGGCGTCAGGACCGTGGACGTTAGGGGAAAACTTGTAATGCCAGGCGGAATCGATACACATACACACATGGAAATGCCTTTTATGGGTACATACTCTGCGGATGATTTTTATTCCGGTACAAAGGCGGCATTGGCCGGTGGCACAACAATGATAAGTAGGCATCTGGTAAATCTTACCCCAAACTTTTAGTCGATTTCGTATGCCCCGCACGTGGCTCCTCCATCCTCGAGGCGTATGAACAATATCGAGAAAAGGCAGATTCGAAAGTTTGTTGTGACTACGCTCTACATGTCATTGTCCCTCATTTTAATGAAAAACTCTCAAATGAAATGGAAGTTCTAACGAAGGAGAAGGGAGTTAATTCTTTCAAATCTTTCCTGGCCTATCCGGGCGTCTTCATGCTTGAAGATGATGAACTTTATGACTTTTTCTGCCGCTGCCGAGAACTGGGGGCCCTCGCTCAAGTTCATGCAGAAAACGGGAAATTGATCTCCCGCAAGCAAGAGGAGGTTATTCAACGTGGTATTCTTGGTCCCGAAGGGCATTCGTTTTCGAGGCCTGAAGCGGTATGTCGTAAAACCGGTCTGGTTCAATCCGTACATGCTAATACGTACTTGTAAGAGGCCTATGTTATAATACCACATCTACAGGGGGTTCTCTCTGATAATACCGAACTGTCTTTTATTGGGACTTTTTCTTGGAGAGTCCGTTTTATTCATATAGAAAAACAAGCACTTAACCAACCATGCACTTCGTTTTCGTCTTCTTGGGGCCCTTTGGAACAAATCACGGCCTTTTATTTGTTAACTGTCGCTCAATCCAATGTCACTTGCAAATGTTTCCCTGCTGCGTTGGCTCGGTATAACTGACTGTCTCATTTACTCGTTCATTAATCGGAGCCTGTGATTTTCTTCTCCAGTTTAGGATGTAGTTTCGGTGGTTTAGATATCTAGCTTTCCCTTGTGTTCGTCTTTCTTTTAATTAGCCTTCCCGATAATAACCATGCAGCACAGATTTATCCACCAAAATGCTTTTGTTTATAAAGGCTGAAGTTGAGGCAACCTCTCGTGCCATCACATTGGCGGACACTGCCAACTGTCCGCTCTATGTTGTACACGTGATGAGTGCCCTCGCTGCAAAGAAAATCGCCGAAGCTCGTCAAGATGGTGTTCTTGTCATCGGTGAGGCAATTGCTGCTGGCCTTGGCACCGATGGAAGTCATTATCTTGACAAATGTTGGCGCAGTGCCGCAGGCTACGTTATGAGTCCGCCTCTAAGAATGAATCCTGAGACTCCGAAACTCCTAATGAAAGCACTGGCCAATGGACACCTTGAGTGCACGGGCACTGACCACTGTGTGTTTAAGGCCGACCAAAAAGCCCTTGGAAAGGATGATTTCCGGAAAATTCCGAACGGCGTCAATGGTGTTGAGGACCGTATGTCGGTTATCTGGGAAAAGGGTGTGGTAAGTACCACTAACGCCCTGCATTTTAGCTGTATTCCGTCTTCATTTTTAAATGCTCGTTGCTCATTTAGACTATTGCCGTCCGGCTGTACGGTCGTTTGACCCTTGCTTTTGGTCGATTGTTTTACACGTTGGCGTTTGATGTGGTTTCCTCTCAAGTGACTTGCGCGCACTCCTAGACTTTTCTAGCAGCAGCTCTCGCGGTTGGTGGGATTCAACTTACTTCCTAGTATTATATCTGTGTTGTTTTTTCACATTTCGGCATATTTGTCTGTTTCCGCGACAGTCTTATTCCCACTTATATTGTTGTGGTTAGGAGGCCTATTTGAGGGACCCCATGTAATTGATAGCTTTCAAACGCCTACTTGCACATGTAACCGCGTTCATAACTGTCTCAGTCGGCTTAATGTTGCACATTCACTTCAAAAATCATCACTCACTTCAGTCAGTCGGCAACAGATTCCAAAGTCAAGTCCAGCCTTTTGCACGCCAGCTCCGTCGGTCTCACCACGTCCATCTACGTTTTAATGGGCCACTTCGGCGTCGTCGCCAGTCATGGCCAGATCCAGCCACATTGACGTCCTGGATGATTTCACTGTCAAGCTGGTTCGACGCATAGCCAAGGCATTTCAGGCGACCTGTTATGAGGATCCGGTCGACCATCGCTGCACGTGGGCTACTATACGGTTATTAGAGATGCGATCGGAGAAGGGAGCTCAAAAACCTCAATCGGGAATAAAACGGTTTAGTACATAGGCCTCACAGGTCCGTAACACAATGGACTTTGGAACCGGTAAACTAGCACAGGTGGTATCCGTTATAAGTGCAAGATCGAATATATCCAGACAAGTGGTATGTTCTGAGCACACTGACCATGTTTTACATCTATACGGAAAAATTGTTTCAACAGAGGCCTCGTGTACCTTTGGCCTTGTCTACGAACTGATATCACGCAGCCTTTTTTTATTTTCGAGGAAATTACTGCGCGGACTTGGAGTAAACCACTCAGAGCAAGCCTTTTTAGGTATGTTCTGAGAGTTGATATGAATATTTGGGCTAAGACCCGTCTGCCACGGTGGAATAACCGCGTCATATTCACAAGCTGCCAACAGCCAGTCAGTAGTACGCAGATGCTGAATGATTCACCACGAAAGCACAGGCACTAGCTAAAGTTCAGATACGTGTTTGCAAAATTGTCGACGAATTCGGTCGGTCGTATCCCTGGTTGATCCGATGGTCTATTTCTCCCTTCCGTTGCCCGCCGGCGGAAAGTCCAACTCAAGGTGTCCGAAGCTGTCAAATAACCCAAGAGCTTTAACGTCTATCGGGCCAAGGCATATATCGGACCGCAAAACTAGAGGTGGCCGCCTCCGTTTTTAAATAATTTGTTTTCAAAGTCACTTTTGCTTTTCATGTCCATCAGGGGTGCCACACATTGCTCTTACGCAGAGTAGCTCACTAGTACTGCATTTTGAACAGCACGCTGAAGTTCTGTAATACAATAACCACGGTTCAACAACGTTGGCTTAGTTTGCCAGTACTTTTTGAATGATCCGGCCAAGCTCGTAATTAAAAACGTCTGGTGTGATGACAGCCTGGCGGACGCCAAAGGCAACATCAAAGAGTTCACTCGCCATTCGCATGAATCTTTGTCTTTGTTCCGTGGTTTCAAGCTTCGATCAAACAGTTTCTCAGTGACGTGCTCTCATGCAACATGATGAGCCATTGAATCCCAATAGGCAGAGTAAAAATCATAGGCAGGGTCTGCGAAACAGACGAGCGTGGACTGTCAATAGCATTGACGATGTTTGAAGTCTCACTGAAGCAGGAAGCGCTTATATGCACATCTTCACCCCAGAGTACTTCGTCTTTTCCCTCGTCCTTGCCGAAGGATTTCAAGGTTGTGTATTTTGACGGTCTGTCTTCTGCTTTACCGTTGCTTGTATGCCGCGTAGTTGAACGATTCGTAACCGAATTTAACGTTGCACCCCGAGGCCAGAAAAAGTGTCACATACTCGCAGGAGCGTAGCACATGTCACTTCATTTAAAGTAATATGTGACTAAAGCATTATTCGAAAATGTCAACTCTTGACGCCTCAAGTCTCGTTTTCAACGCCAGTGCTGCCTTTGTGCTACTATAAGGCTCCTCCGAGCTCCCTCATCTGTTACTCGACGGTAGCGATGAGTATTCGGTAACTATGAAACGAAGTATGCAATGGTACCGGAGTGTCGACTATCATTTAGTCTTCGTTTTAATGCTCAGTGTTAAGTACGCAGTCTTACCGAGTTTACTTTTCCTAACGATGCCTAAAATTTATTCAAGGTCGTGTAATATTTTACTATCTGATGGTAGAAGAGCGCTCACCGAGCCAGGGTTTGTCCGACTGGCCCTTTTTGATACCGGGTTTTTAATTTTATCCCCCCACAGGTCACCGGTATTATTGACCCCTGCAAGTTCGTTGCCATCACCAGTACCAATGCTGCAAAAATCTTCAACATCTATCCGCGTAAAGGCCGTATTGAAGTGGGAAGTGATGCAGACCTTGTGGTTTGGGATCCTGAAGCCGAGCGTACTATTTCTGCCTCGACCCATCACCAGAATGTTGACTTTAACATTTTCGAGGGAATGCGTTGCCATGGTGTTCCGCAAATAGTGATCACAAATGGACATATCGTCCTGGAGGATGGTGACCTGAAAGTTAGTCAAGGGACTGGCCGTTTTGTGCCAACCCCACCATTTTCGCCCTACGTCTACTCAAAAGTTGAAGGAAGGCAAAAGGTTTGTCCTGGTTCTCCAGTGCATTATTATTCCTAAACCAGGGATTTCCATCTTACGGACGTACGAGCCGTGAACGATTAACTCTTTAGAAGCTTTCATTTGACATTCATGGGTAGCCTTATAATCCTTGAATTTTAGTTGCGTGAGCGAATTCCTGTCAAACGTGAACCTTACACTGGTCCCGTGGCCGATTTGGGCGCTGCTCTGCAAGCTGTCGACATCAAGGAAGTTTCAGCCAACGGTAAGGGCGATCGCATCCAGCCCTTCACTCACCAGCGTCCGCCCACGAGTGCCGGTGGACGCAACATGCAGGATTCCAGCTTTGCCCTGAGCGGTAAGTGCGCGCTGTCCTGCATCTCCTTGTACACCTGTCTCTTATCGCTTCAGCACTTCCATAGGACAGTCATTTTCCAGTCTTCATTATCGGTAGATTGTCCGACTGTTAAAAGTACTAGTCTCACGGTTTTCCGTCTATGATGGATCCGACCCACCATCGTGCATTTACATATGTCCGCGCAGGAAGGGAACACTCGTGCATCTACCTCCAAGCTGTGTACTTGTGAGTTGACGCGAGCATTTTTTCCACCTAGGCTGGCTTCTTGCATTCTGCGGTCATATCTTAACTCTGCCACCACATGTGCTTGGGGATCGTTGCATCTTCACAGATGGCCTCACGACAGTTTAGTGTGTCGCAAGTCGACTTACTGTTTGCTGTCTTACGCCCGATTAGTCTGTGAGTGCTATATCCTCAGACCTCACAACTACTTACTTAGATTTGCCGTATTATAAAATAGGCTCTTGCGTCCAGCGTGTCAACGGGTTTTCATCTAACTACTGTCAATGGCGACGTAGGCCTTCAAGTTTTTTTAAGTTAGCCTTGGCGCCCGGATTTTCTTGACCTCACATTTAGTGAGTAATAAATAGATGTTGATACATTTTACCTTGCCCTCCACAAATGTAGCGCTTTGAGATTTTCTTGGACATTTTAAAAACATTGTGGCTCCATAAGGTCCCTTTCTTTTGGTAAAGAGGGTCTTTTCGGCAGTTTTTTTCTTTATATCCTGCCCGCGTCTCAGTATTACGATCGCCTGTATTGAGAACTCGGTCATAAAAACTCACTTAAGTAGACCTCACATGATCCATGTCGAACGGTTTCTAGGTTTGGCAGACCGCTGTCTCGCAAATTTTCAGGCCTCAGTTATCATGTAAAGCCTTCGGTCCCGCTCCGGACCCTTCGTCTTTACTTTTTAACCACTTAACAGCGATTGGTGTCCTTTCAGGCTCTCAAGTCGATGATGCTGTACCGGTGCGGTCAACCATCCGAACACAACAGCCGCCAGGTGGAGCTTCAAGATCTTTGTGGTAGGCCAACCCAGCCTCCGTGGACTATCAAGGCTTTTCACGCTTGGGTCAAACCCTCACCACTCACTATACGTCCTCTTATCATGTTCCCAAATTCCTCGAACAGCTCCTCGTCAGTTTCGTATAATCTCTTTACCTCTTCTCTCTAGCTTCCTTATAATGTGCTCTTTTTGCGAATACTCAGTGATTTTGCAAAGATACCTTGTGACTTTTCGTCTTCCCTCTTTTACGAAAGAGCTACTTGAGGTGTGTTGTTTGAACCGTCCCACCTCCCTTGTCGTCTCACCCCACGTGCTCCGTCTACCCGCTGTCTGCCGCCCTGCTTTTTTCCTAGTTTTACTATGGCTCTGTCTACCAGTTACCGCGCACGATGTGATCACCTGCAGGGGTGGCGTCTCCACCCGGCCTACCATGGCTTGTCGACGTTTATTAAACTCCTTTTTTCCTTCTGGTGCTTTCCTTTTACCGAAGCGGGTTTGCGCCTCATCCCTCCTCCCCAATCCTCTCCCTCCCCGCCGAGATGCGACTCTTGCGCTAACCGCACGAAATCAGTCGAGAAGTGTTTTGATGGACATGCAATAGTACCTGGGCCAACCCACCTCCTTATCGTCTGTACCAGCTGTTTTGTGCTGTGAGAGCACGTATGGCATTCAATAGACGACTTTACGTCAGTCACCGCGCCCTATCTCGTCAGTCGGTTTTACTCAGACGGTTGACTGGAATACGGGAGGGCTCATGCGCGTGGTCGCTCCACCATAAGGCGTTTCGAAATCTTTACGAAGCACCAACAGCCATGACTTGTAAAGTTGCCTACTTCCGGGATAACTCGTTCTATTTTGAAGCTGGAGTCCGGCCACTCTGACTTCTTAACTCTCTGTCTTCATGTCACTTTTCTCCTTGGAGTCAGTGACCCCCTACCACTGAAGTCTTGTGTGTGTGTGTGTGGGCCTTGTGGCCGGGGCGTCTGTGGCACACGTAGTCGGGCCGTTAAGGCGTGTTGGATACTTCGCTCACTTCCATTTCAGTCGTCCTAACTTTACTTAGTCCTTCAAACAGGCTAGGCGCTGCGGGAGTGAGGTATTTGCAGCATGGGTTTGCGCCATTATAAACGAATTTACGCACAAGTTACGTTTGCACCCACATTATGAGGCAACAGTGATGAACCTTGTCGTTTTCACCAGCCAAACTTGTGGTGAGAACGGCTGCAGGGGGCCGTGGTTCTATTGCACGTGTCCATACGTAGATCACCTCGACCTGTTCTGAGGACGGTCGCTATGCTTGCTTTTTTTCGCCCGAGCAGCTTCAGGCCTGGATGTATTTTCAATTTTTGAAAGCTGACCGGTCTCCCACTAGTACCTCTTGGTAAAGACTAGGGGTGGGGTGTGTGGGTTGGACAGATGACCGTGCATCAGCATCTTTGGGGAGGTACGATCGCCGGGACAGGAGTCTTACCCGCCTAACGTTTTGGGTCCTCCCTCGAACTCAATCACCAGAGACGGCCTCAGGTAAGGGTAGTGGATGCAGTATTCATAGGACGCCGTTGCAATGCAACCACATACTTACTGCAGCACTTGTGCAAACACTTGCCGTACCTGATACTAGATGTCATTGGTTATCCGAAAGGTCTGGCGAATAAAACCCCTGCCCCAGCGATCGCGGCTCCCAAACTGCCTTTTGGGACTCTTCTACTTGCTTCTGTCACCAGTCGGGATCTCTGTTGTCAGAGGTCTACTGCGGTCAGTTAGTGACCGGCATATCAAGACTTCGTGCTATAGCCCAGAAGTCCTAATTTCCGCAGCGCTTAAAGACTAGTTTTTCGCTGCTAACCAGTTAGCTTTGTTTTCGCCAATTTTGTGGATGCTCCACTTCATTAAGCATCGTTTCGTAATATGCATGAAAAGAATGCTTCGCCAGCAGACGCACTCTTGAGCTCAAGACATTTCTTTTTGGAATACTACGCCTGAGTCGTCGAAAACCTTGTCAGCTTCTGAGTCAGGAGAAAAATGGGGTGTATAGCCCCTTAGCACATCTTTGATATTTTAACGTTAATTTAGGAGTTCCGGCGATGTCACTAAGACCGCTTCCGGTCTGCTCCGATCTCGGAAGAGAGCTGACTCAGTCCGACCGTCCCGCCGTCAAATTCTATATGCAGCCGGGGGGAGGGGACCTGGACAGGTTTCCACCCCCCCCCCCTCCTAGTGCCTAAACGTCAGGGGTGAAGTCATAACTCAAACCAACATGTCCGTGGCGTTTGGGACCACGAGTCTAGGACTGGTGGCTTCTGCACCTTGGACGTTCATGTTTGAAAACTTGGATGTCATGAGTCAACTCCCTTGCATCAAAAAGACACTACAAAGCTGGATGGATTACACTGGTTTTTGCATTGCTGCCCCAGTTTCTTTTGATATTCGTCCATTTTCTGCAGGCCAAACTTGTCAAATAAATCTCCCTTCTTTGTGCTACTCTCTTTTTAAGAAATTTCTCGGGTATCCTTTGTTTGAAGTGGAAGGAATTTAGCCTAACCAGTAAAGTCTCAGATCACGTGTATAGTGCTTTTTAAATAGACTCAGCATGCAGTTTAACCTATACCTGTTGGGCTGATCGCTTTAAGAAAGTGTCACCATTTGCCACCGTGAGCTGGCAGAAAATTTTCCGAGCACCCTGTTTATGATGAAGGGAACCGTTTTTTTATGGAATGAAAATCTAAACTTCCATAATTTGCTTCTCGCACTTTCATCTGCACTTGTTGAAGTGGGGCCAACAAGACGGAATTCCCTTTAGTCAGACTTGGCACTTGCCCCTGCCTAAATGTTCTACGTTAGAGGAAGAGAGCCCTCCGAGGTGACAACTGCCTTCCCCAGTCTAGCAGTTAAGCAGCCCAGTTTTCGCCCCCAGGCAGCTGGTGATGGAGTCTAACACCATGGTACTGGATGTACGAGTAAGCTTTGTAAGATGCCCGTCTACGTGCCCCCAGTAGGTGCATGCCTGTCTTCCGGAGATCTCTAGGATCCTCTCTTTTTCCTCAGAAAGTCCATCAACTGGGTCGGCCGCCGCCAGCAAATGCGGCAGCGGACTGTGCCGGCGGCGAGCCCTAGGCTCCGCCTTATCACCTTGCCAGTGACGCATCGCCCGCTCAGTAGGGCCACTACTTTTCACCAATACCAAAGGCTTGTCGTCCCGTGGATATGCCCCTACCTTCCCGCCCTGTTGCCCTGCTTTGCGTTGAATTGCGAAAACATGGGTTAGGTAGGCGTCGGTTAAATTCATTGAAAGGAGAGGTTGGGTTGTTGGACCAGCAAATCGCGCCACCAGTGCCTTCTTGTTAAAATCGCGGGTCATGTCAGGCGCCTTCGCACCCATGTTGAAATCCGGATTTTACTCCTGCACGTGTCTCGAACGTTGTTGCCACCTGGCACTCAGCGAACATCGCGCTCAATGAAGCACCGACTAGCGAAGTGCACGTATCCTTCAAAGCTTCCTAACATCACTGAATAGGAGGCGGAGAGGCAGCGGCTCTTTTCAATGGCACACAGTCTGGTGCGGTAACCTTCCATCGTTCATTAGAAGCGCCTGACTGTCATATGGGTGCGATGTCTAAGACCCTGGCGTGACTACACAGGGTGGGATCCGAGAGTTCCGTTATGGTTTTCAGCCGGAGACGATCGCGCAGGCAGGAGCGTGCAGTGCTTCACAGGCCTAACCTCTTCCGGCAGGGATCGGAAAATTTCTGGATTCGCCTGGGAGTAGCTCTTACCGACGTAATCTAATCACGCCAAAAAACGGCTTGCATTTTAGCCTTAGAACTCCCGATTAAGACACCAGCAGACGACGGTTGAAATAAGTAGCTTAACGGTGGGTCACGTTGCTGTCTTAAGTTCAGATCATAGGTTTTCAGGTCCTGGAACTGGAATATACCTCGTTTGTGATGGCAGCTAAATTAGAACTGGCCATTCCAACCTCCCCTAGTCAATATACTTTTCACCACTTAATCTCTTTTTGCTCTAAAAGCCAGAAATTGTAAACGGTGGAGACATAAAACAGTTGTCTGGTATCGCACTGAGACAGTGTGCGTCAGGTTTCTGATCCCGTCCATTGCAACCAGGGGGGGGGGGAATGCATCACGACAGAATTTGCCATTGCAAATTGTGTCAGATCACTTGAATTAATCCGGTTCCTCAATTTATCCATTTTTACTGCACGTCGAGTAATACCTCTTGCTGTGGACTTGCTCAATGCGGGCTGCAATTCAACAGTAGGAAATGAACTTATCTGCTTGTTTGCAAACCGTTCCTTTTTAATCACAAAATGCTGGTTCCAAGCCGCGTCCCGGACTTCTTATGTGGCGCCTGTTAACTCGGTTGCACCAGCTCAGTTCTGGAAGATCGTTTGTGAATTCTGGACTGTATAAATGTGCTGGTCGCATACTTTTGAGGTGGTAGCTCTTGTGACTCAGTTTTAAAAAAATGAGTCACCTTTTTCTCCTCAATTTACGACAATGCTCGTGCTTCATAGTCAGTTTGTTTGGCCGTCGAGGTTGCCGTCACCGGTCGCGCCGCCAGACAATCGAAGCCATAGTCGAAATTTGCTCCACTTCTTAGGCCTAAACATGTAGTAATTTAATTCAATGACTCCCGCAAGATTGAAGTTGCCATGGCGGAGCACTGTCCAGATAGGTTCCCTTGCGCAGGAAAATCCGGATGGTCGATAGAAAACTACCTATCGTTCCTATGTACCTTTGGCTTTCTGATCTTGCCGTAAAATGGGATCGATTTGTGGGTATGTATTTATAAACGCCGACGATCCATTCTTAAAGATCAAATCTTCCTTTCTACTTTTCGCCTCCGAGAATATTGTGTAAGGGAGGAGCACAGCATGGAACAAGTAGTTGAAGGTTGTGTTACTCTGAGTGAAATTGAATAAAGCGCTTGATATGCTTTGAAGCGAGCAATGAGGACCCCGCTCTATGCTTCGCCGGCAAAAAACCCTCCCGCATGCCTGCTCAGTGACAGCTAGTTTATAATTTGTTCTGATTTGGTGGATTAAGTGCTACTCTGTGTTCTGCATTTTTTAACTTTTGGTAAGCCAAGTCAAGGGAACCGAACCACAGCTCCCCAAGTGAAAATTTAACCGCTTAAGATAAATGTAGCCAATCGCATATTCCTGTGTCGAATGAGCGGGAAAACTGGTTTTTCGGAAGGATTTGGATTATTTGACCTTTTATATGTTGTGTTTACCCTACCAATCT